TTGGAGGTTTTGGTAGATTTATTGATGTCAAGGTAGTATTTGTCATGAACTGATATCAGTTAAAAACCTGGGACAACTAAACAGATGTTTTATCCTAGTATCGGACTCCTCAACAGTGGGCGTACTACTTCACTAAGGGTCGAATGTGCTCTCCATGGAACCTGAAGTCCCTGGGTTCGATCCCTGGCATAGTCATGGGTATGTACTGCTGAGATGTTCCATACTGGAATGAAACATTAGTCCAGTATTCCCAGGTTTGTGATAGTTCCACAACTAATGGCAGTCCGTCATGAATGCTACCTTAAAAAACAAATCCCCATTAACCTCAAAATACACCACTGTATAGTGCTCACTAGTGACATGCTTCTAGATAGAAATCGCGAAGTTCTGATGAGAAGCTGTGACCTGTGGAGTCAACCAATCAGAAGGAAAGTGAATGTCAACTGAAGATGCTGAGTGATAGTCGCCCTATATCGCTAACTGACAGAAGTAGAAAACTAAGAACCACTAAACTCCGAAGTAATTGCTAAATGGTTAACGCACTCGTCGTGCAACCTTAAGGTCTCGAGTTGGATCCCTAACCAGATCAGGATTCCCATACTTGGGCGAAACAGCTGTCCAGAACTCCCAGGCTTTCAATGATTCTGAAAATGATGTCAGTCTATGATGAATACCAACTGAAAGTTATCCCAGTTATTTAATTAACTACTTGTAATAATATTGTTCAACTGAGAATTTCAATTATCTGTTCTGGATGTATACGAAACAAGAAAATGCACATTACAAAAAGAAACAGTTTCACTAATTGAATTTCACCATAAACTATCATGACAGATGTTACCAAGTAAAATATCTTTGTTGTGTCCGTAACCACTACCTATACTTCCGGAAACTTAGATGATCGGTTAACCAATAGTGTGTAGTCGTAGTCTGTCCACCAGTCATTCTTACTTAGGATAGCTTGACCAGGCAACGTACGCTGTTAAGGCATCTCATATTTCCCTGTTTTTTGTTGACGAATAGACTATTCATCCAATATAGTGAAGCCTACACAGATGTTATGTCTTTCCTATAATCGTGAGAAACGACTTTAAAGGCCACCCTAGCAATATTCGAAATCATCAATCAGGCTACTTCATTTCAGCTGTAAAGTATATGATTATAAACTAGATAAGTCTAATTGGTTATTTCAGATTTTTGCTAGAGTGACTTTTTAAGTCATTCCTCGTGAGTGTGACAAGTATTTTGGTGTTATGGTGTCGACCTCACATAAAGTAACTAGCAACTATATAGCGATATATAAACAAATAATAGGTTTAAAAGGCAGTCACATTTGATTCTATTATTGTTTTACGTTTAACCAAGAAATTTGTTTCTTTGCAATTTGTACACATATCATCTAATATAATCTATTTATGGATTGTGATTTACAAAAATTTCCACAGAGCTTGTAAAAAACATTTTATGGATGATTTGTTTCAATTGCGGTTCAATGAACTGCTTCTCACAACTTATCACGCTTATCATTTTTGTCATATAAATACGTTTTAGGGATATATTTAGATTTGAGTAATGTTTTGCTTTAAGATGAATTGATCTTCTAGTATCTCAATAAACTAGGTAATTTTCCAATTATTGTTTTATCCGAGGCATTTTATTTAATACATTATATTATTACTCGTCATTTGGGTTCCTAGTGGAACATAGGATTTCAGTAGCACGTCACCATTCGAATCTCTTCTCTGCAGTCTTTTCAACCTGGATCCACAACTCCCCATAACCCTTCATTTCTTCCTCAAACGATCACCTCCATGACACCCTCGCCTCAGACACCCAACTGGTCGTTTCCCATTTGGGTTCCACTCGACGGTGTGGTGTGGTGTGGTCTGGCGTGGCCTGGCGTGACTCGTGATGTCCTCGAATGGTCTTCCCAATATATGTCCAATCCAATCCAATCTAATCCAATGGAATCCATCTCAACTTTCTTCTTCTACATATTTGTTGGGCGATAGGTTGTTGGTTGGTTCGTTGCCAGCCAGCCCGCTTGCCAGCCAGACAGCCAGAGTTCCTTGTTGTTTAATCTTGTTGTCCTGGCCTTCTGATCTTCATTATCGGGTGAGCGTAGGTGGCATGTGTTGATGTATGATGTGTGTAGTTTGTTGAAAATGCTTTTCGTAACACACCAAGTCTCTCAACCATCACATCACCATCACTGAATTTACATGAGTATTAGTGTTGGAAATCTGGATCTTGTTCACGCTTTATGTTGAGTGGAGTGGAGTATAGTGGAGTAGATCTCCACACTGATTTCAGATTAATGAAGGAAGGTCTGTCATGGTTTTTTGATCCTGGTTTTGACATGATCATCTGTGCCTGTGCCGTCTGTAGTTGGAACGATGGTGTCTTGCCTGTGTAGGTGAAAGAGACAACCTCCTTTCGATTTCTCCCATTGATGGTGACTGGTGCTTACTCTTGTTGTTGTTGTTGTTGTTGTTGCTGTTGATGATGATGTTGACTGAGTATCTTCATCACCTGTATCTTCTCTACGTTCACCTGAAGGAAGTCGCATCTTCGCTGTCTCACTTCGCCTCGCCTCGCCTTGCCTCCTCTGCCAACTTGTTGGTTTTAGCCTATAGATCTTCGAGTTAGTGCGACATTGGACATTAGATATAGATCATCATCGTTGGCGAAATCGAAATCTTCTTCTAGGGTCTTTTTCTTCGGTCAAACAGCGTGCGTATGCCCATCTTCTGGCTGCTTACCGTTTGTTGCATGATCCAGTTGAGTGAACCACAATCATGAATATCGTGGTTGGATAGTATGCGGCAGCCTTGTCTTACTCCTGTCTTCCCTTTGAAGGTGTCACTGAGTTTTCCATTGTGAATCACTTGTAATGTATCATCCTCATATGGCATATAGGTGGTGTATAGTGAGTTTTGTAAGTGTTTGTGGCAGTAAAAGCGTAGTGTGGAAGCAGCTGCCTGTCAAATTACTTCTCGTTTGAGTCTGTCGGAGGGATTTTTGCAGTCGATGAAGTTGAGGTAAAGATGTATTTGGCTGGCATTCTATGCTGTTTTTTATAATGATGCGTAACATGGCGTTGCTGTTTGAACGTGCATAGCCTCATCGGCGTACTTGCCTTCCCTGGCTAGTTCCCTCCACAAACCTCGATATCACCCATACTGTGATTCTGATTTGCGTGAACAATCCTGTGAAGCCAATGAAAGAAACTCCTTTTTTTCTGCTATTTATTAATCATTAAGTCATCATGTCTGGCATCAGCAGTTATTTCGTATCTTTTCGAAACACAGATTTAGTTCACTCAGACAGTAGATGGAAAATTTCTTCTCATCTTTTTCAATGTGACAAGGGTAAACCGATCATTAATTGATAATTTTCAGAAAATATTGTCAAAGTGATATTCATGAAAAAAATCTATGCTGTTTTTGTGTGGGTGAGTATTTCGTGATGAAAGAATGACTCGTCATAAATGTCTGTCGAATGTGAGATTTTACCACATAGTCAATTAGCTTTTTCGCTTTGACATCACAAAAACAGACTCATCATGAATTTTTTTTTACTGTTTAATTTCTCCTTTAAGTAGTAAAACAAATACGTGGAAAGAAGGAAAATTTTTTTTTCAACGATTTCGTTTACTAAAGCCGTGCAGTCATATTTAAAAGCATTGAAAACAAATAATAGTCTATTGTTAATCAATTGGGACATCTGATTACTGTAGTCTTCACGAGTAGCATGGAAAGTTTCCAAAGATAGAAGAAAATCACTACTTTGACCATGGTAATTCTAATGAATACATGTATTGTTTTTGAATACGAAGATCAGGTTGAAGGTCATGAATTGTCAATGCTTCGTCTATGCATAAATGGTGCAATCAAAGGTCTTTGAAATTGTAGGGAAGCATTTGGTAAATTACTTTGAAGGAATTACTAAAGATGTCCGGAGATGACAAGGTGTTCAAGAATAGAACTGTTGGCTTTTTTTCTCTGTCCTTTGGATAAGCATACTGGACAATGCTACCAAATACGCTTACGGACTTGACGATGTGTGTGGTCAATGTACTTTGCTTTACAGAAACAAGTAAACTGATAGATGTAAATTAAGGTGACCAACAGTAATATTCTGTCTTTAACTCATTGATGGAATAATTGTCTACCGGAAAATATGGTTTTCAAGCTAGCTAAGGCAAATTTTCTCAAAAATTACCTCAAGATTTCAACTGCAAAGTCACCTTTGAATTCCAGCTTCTCGCTGTGAGTTATCTCCAAGAAGGTCCATACTTTTTGTATTTATGGCGTTCCTTTCATGTTACAGTCAACGAATCTAGTGGATAATTGCATAGAAATTGTAGCTGTAGTGTACCTTGTAGTGTACCTTCAGAAGTGATTTTCTTAATCCTTGAACATAACGAATATACAAGGTTCCGTTTGCTAATGAGAGGGATATAACTTTGAAAGTTGAGGAACTGTCTAGTCTATGTTGATTTTCTGTACATTGGTCTCTGGACAGAATTATCTGATCTTTTTTAGTAGCATATGGAAAAATAAGAGGCAACATCAAATTGGTTTTACATTCTACGCATGACTGTGTAGTATCATAAGTGTTCATTAAGTCTCTGCATATATATTTGATATGAATTGTCGGCTTATAAAAGATCAATTTTTTGTTGGCAAATATTTCTGTTTTGACATTGGTTGGTGATAGGAAAACCTGATTAATGTGTTTAGGCACTAGGGTATGCACCACAGTTTTCCTAAGAAGGTTTATAATGCTAACTAATTACTCAAATTGAGATAGGTAAAGTACCGTTTGAAACCAAAACTCATTACTTGGTCATTGAACGTTTGAGTCGTTAAACCACAATTCATATATTTATCTAAAAAGTACCATCAGTGTTTCATTTTATACAATTCCTTTTGATGATCTCTACACTAATTTAATCGAAAATTACTCTCCACTCTTCTGTTTTTATTATAAATCAGGGTTATGATACAATAATTGGTGAGAAAGGCAGTGGTTTATCAGGTGGACAAAGGCAAAGAATTGCTATTGCTCGTGTACTTATTCGAAAGCCTAAATTATTACTTTTAGATGAGGCTACGTCTGCTTTAGATACACAATCTGAACGAATCGTTCAAGCTGCTTTAGATAAAATTGTTTACGGATGTACTGTATTGGTAATTGCGCATCGTTTATCAACAATTAAAAATGCTGATCGTATCATTGTACTGGAACAAGGTCAAATACGTGAAGTCGGTACACATGACGAACTACTACAGTTGAATGGATTGTATGCAACAATGTTACATGGTCAAGTGAGTTTATAAAACGCTGGATATTTGATCACTACTTAACTCATCTATACGTTACAGATCTCTGTACCAGGTTATAGACCAAAATTAATATCTGAATGCTTATCGTACTACCCGGTTGCCCAAACCGAAGCAAATTCATAAGATATCGAAAAAAAAATATCACCAGTAGTAGTAGTAGCAGCGGCAGTAATACAGGTGTTATTCATAATAATTCTACTACTAATGGTAATAATGGTGACAAGGTTGAGAGAGAATTCAAAGTCTCTGCTGTGCTACCATTCAAAGAAGGCACCTCGGAAGCGCTACGAAGAATTTCTAATAACTCTGGGATTAAAATGGCGGTTAAACCAAAAAACGCTTCCAAACAAGCTTTGTACGCTAAAAGATCTTATTGATGCAATTAAGCAAAATAATTTCGTTTACAACATTACTTGCAATGATTGCGTGGTAAAAGTAGTCGACTAGGATCATTTAGAATAACAGAGTACAATAACTTAGCTAAATCAAAATTAGTAGATCATAATAAGATAAGAAATTTAGAGAAAAGATCGTCTATAAGTATGCACAAGCCCTTCCACGGCCACGTGAGTTTTAGAATAACTGTCATAGTCAAGCAAAGGATACACAGAATTAATATACAACTCCATACTCATATTGTGAATAGTGGACATGAAATTTATGCTCGCCAATCTTCTTGAAGTTATTTGTTACATCCGGTGTAATCTGATTCCTATTTTCCAAATCTTTCCTTTACAAACGAGGTGGACTCTTTTCAGCGATATAATTCCCAAGCTGCCCAATACCGTATAAATATTCCATTTACTTGGCTACAGAAAAGGAATCTTTTTGTTGACAAAATTCAGTTTTGATAATAAATTAGATCATGAAAAAGGATTACTTGGTGTCTAAAATAGGAATGAGAAGAAGACTTATCGAGAATGCAGCAAAATCAAGTTACTCATTTGAATGGTTTCATGTGTTTAAATAGGATTCATAAGTGTTATGAGAAATCTGAAATTCTAGGGATGGGAAGGGTCAGAAGGTGATGTGTGAGAATACGTAGGTTATGCATTCATATTTGGATGCCTACTTTGTTTTTTATGCTATGGAATCCACATTATTTACGTGCCTGATACTATAGAATATAAACTAAGTTTTATTAAAAGTGTTTTGCCTGAATACTAGTATCCTGACTGTTTCATTATAAAAGCTATCAATTGAAACCTGCTAATGATTCTACTTCAAAGAAGACTCGTCAGAAGAAAAACTAAGAAGCTGTCCGGCATGTTCATTGAGAGGGACGTTCTATGCTACTAAAATGAAACTAATCCTCTCCACTTATTGGATGCTTCTACTATTCATGAAGAATAAGGTAGCTTCCTTAATCACCGCTATACATGTTTTGTAAGTTGGCTATACTCGATGTTCACTTTCTGAGAGTATCTTCAAGCACATATAAGCCTAGGGCCACAAAGGAGAAGAAAAAGCACCTCATAACTATATCCTAGAACATTTAGTTAACTCTGACCACTCGATAAGTGCACAAAACAATTTCAATTTCATCTATAGACTTCATCTAAACCTTGTGAAGGCTATAGACTTGAGATTTCTCCAAACTTCAAGAGCCATGGCAATTCATATGTTGAAGTCTAAACTCTGCATTCATAAGAAGTTTGCCCAGTCACTTGGTTTACAATAAATGTGATCAGTGGAGATACTTCACAACCAAAATTTTCCATAAATGATCTCGATTCATGTAGACAACCTTACTCAAATCTTTCCATTAGTATTGACAATTTTTCTGCTGCAATATTTTTGTTTGTGTTGACAAATTCTTGTTACTGGATGAACTGATGAAATAATGTGTATATATTTGATGATTACGTTGAAATCATACTTTTGATCAAAATGTTTTGGTTCTTACGGATAAATCATGGCTATATATACTACTGAATAACTTGAGTAGTTAGAAACCATTCAGGTTGATCTGTAAATTTCACCAGCTAGATCAAAATGATGTGAATCATTGTTAAATATCTCAGGATTTTTTTTCTTTCGAATTGTAGTTTTTCTTACTCCAGATCATAAAAACATTCGCTTTCATGCTTTTTTACACGTTGACCTTAGGAAAAGAATCAAAAGCATGTAGACGACTCCACAGATAGTGATGAATATGATGGAGAGAGATACAATCATGAATATTTAAATCTTTCTCATGAAAATAAAAGACACAATTATAATCAAGTTTCATCACCTACCGAAAAAGATTGTTATTCAGATTGCAACGTAAGTTAACTGGTTACACAAATATTTTAAAAAATCTACTTATCTTTTGTTCAGTACTTAAATAATATACTAAGCTTTGAATAATATTATTTTAAAATTAATTTCTATCGAAAGCATATGCATTACAAACAAAGAAAACTTGTATACGTTGGCGCAGTAGACAATGAGCCAAAGATATTGTGTGATGGCAAACCTCCATGAATCGGGCACTGTTGAAATCTCTGACACATTGCCTGAAAGTAAACTGCAGAGACGGCACCACCTACACCACCAATCTTTCTGTTCTATATTAAGCTTTTCTACTGGATAGCCAATAAGTTCTAGATATTCATTACGAGTTCCGAGAACAAAATATTTACCTAAATGGAATGTTTCCAACTCGTTCATATTATAGATGAGATTTAAAACCAACAATCTGTAAAGGAAATTTCACTTAAATAATAATAGGTCCCAAATAACAATAATGATGGTTATCGTTATAATAATGTTACACGTTGATCATGTAGAATGATAACAAAGATAGGTTACACAGGATTCCAAGACCTTTCACAGCATGAATAAATACTAAAACGAGGTGAAACGTGGAAGACCTAATAAACAAAAACAAAAAGAACTCGGCAATATGAATGAGACATGTTCATCTAGATAAAATGAAAATATTTCGTTAGAAGTTGAAATTATTGGGAAGATTAAATGAAGTAAGACCAACAGTGATGATAATGACGATCTAAGAGTACAAAGAATAATCTAGTAAGTCAGGGAAGTCAAAAAGAACGAAACAAAATAAACCAAGACCATATTTAGTTAAAGCTGAGGAAGACAGAACATCAAAACGAAACGCTCTAAGCTACCTTGTGCATATCCGTGCAGTAGGCAATGAGCCTCACCTTTTGTGTGAGGGTCAGTGATACTGCCTGGTTGCCCCTACCTCTAACTCATGACCCAGTGGTTGATAGGAATCTCCCTAAACCACTGAGATGCAGCTTCCCTGTACGTAATTCTTTTGCAAACGAAGGTAAAGCTTCAATTGAAGGATGGCCAAGGCGTTTGATGTTTTTAGAAGTTGAAGATGGAGAAAATGTGAAATGTTCTAGCAAATTCGATAAACAATAATAAAGTTATTATTCGTGTCGCCTGAGTAGTTGGAGTCAAGGACAGAATTTCGAATACATTTCATCCCACATTTTTAAAAGCATATCGATTCACACAGTAAGAAAGTACGAAGTCCAACAAACTACCTAAGAGAACTCTTGATGAAATGTATGTTTAATATACCGACAAAATTATAGGATTGAAATAGGATACCCACTATCAGCTCTGATGGCCCGTTGTTTACGTTGAATTGAGAAATTCCAATCTTAGTCAAACTGTTAACCACTTTGACATCTACAAAAGATGTATGAATGATGCATTTTGTATTTGTGATCCAGATATCGATATTGATGACATTCTGCACCCGTTCAACAATTGTCATTCAGCATTGGAGTTCACCCTTAAGAAAGAATTGGAATCAGCAATTCCTTTCCTTGATAGAAAGCCCACATAGAAGAAAAGTTTACGAATTTCTAAAGTCCGCTGTCTATCTTGAGGAAAGGAAGCCTAATCCACTTGCTTTTCTATTGATAACGAAATATTTGTAGCATACACTATGTGGAAGCTGAACTCAACTTCTTAAGAACTACGCTTGCAGAAAATGGCTGCCCCACCCGACTGGTCGGTAAAAATATGCAAGAAAGATATGTGAAATTAGTCATCAACTCAGTTTCTAAAACGACTGTGTTCATGTATCTGGAATACAAAGGTGATGTAGCATCAGACATTTTACGCAGCCAAACTCCATTTGACCTTTACTAACCGTAAATTGTTCTTTACGTGTATAAAAGGCAATGCTCTTCGAAAGGCCACCTACATGGTGGTCTTACAATTCACCTACTCCTGAGGAGAGAGGTGGTAAGTTGGCCGCAGCCAGAGATTACTGTCGGCACGTAGAGGGGAACATATTTCAGCCTGGTTTTGTAAGAGTAAAAGGAAATGGATTAGAAGTTCGATACTTGAACACTTACTCCATCGTAACCATTCACTCGACCTAAACAATGATTTTAAGGTTGTTTATTGAATTCCCTGGAACATTTCACGTTTTCTCCATCTTCAACTTCAAGGGCCTTGGCTATTTGTGGGTTGAAGCCCTACCTTTGTATGCAAAGGAAGTGGGTGGAGTCTTTGTGACTACGCTGGTCTGAATTTAATTTGGTCTTAGTTTATTTTTTTTCGTTCCTTTTCCACTTTCTTCACTTGCTAGATTATTCTTTGTAGTCTTATTTCGTCTTTTTTTATATATTTAATTGGTTTCGGCTCATGGGTCACAGCAGCTAACTTTTGATTTGTAGATCATGAGTTTGAAACCTGCTTCAAACACTGAAGTTTTGAAAACCATGTAGTATCATTCGCTCTCACATTTTTGCTGTCGCATTTCACGTTTTGCAAAATCATATATGTGCTTGATAAGATAGTTTAGTTTAACGTGGATCAAGTAGTGTAATTAGCTGACGATGTTCGTCTGAAAAATGTAATGTGTTTGCTCACTGCATTCCGAGCAGTTTAATCACAAGTTTACTTGTTAATTCAGTTTATATTACAATAAAAATGGGAGGTCAATTAATGCAATTGTGGTAATAAGAGATCTAGTTATAAGAAAGCTGATCCCAAAAACACTGTTGGTAATAAAGTCAGTTAAATGTTTTCAAGATTTCTTTTGAATACAAAATGAGACTTTAATTGGTCTTAGACTGTTATTTCTGCAAATCTCAATATGCGCCTCTATTTGTCGCTATGCTCACTTTTATAGGCTGTTTTAACGTGAATTCCGCGATGTATTTGCACAGTATATTTGGTCATGGCTGGAAAACTCTATCTGCCACTTGAAACTTTTTGAAATCATTTAGATACGTGGTAATTTGGTTGGTTTTTGCTAGTAGAGGAATTCATGATACAAGTTCCGTCCTATTTGGGACTCGTCAGTTGGATGTATCTGCACCCCAGTGAGTGGTGTTGTTCCCATTGAGACCTGAATTCCAATCCAGTCGCTTCAAACGCCATGGCGTTATCCGCTATGCCACCGTTGTACAAGAAGTGGCTATCTTGCCTCCGAGTCATAGTGGATAACACCTTGGTGTTCGAAGCGATGGGTACGAGGTTTTAGTCTCAATGGGAACAACATCACTCACTGGGCTGCAAGTCCATCCAGCTGACGAGTCCCAAATAGGACAGAACTTGTATCCTGAATTCCTCTGCTAGCCACAACCAACCAAATTACCATAATTAACATTCAGGCAATATCGAGGCATTTGCATAGGAGCCCATATGCTAATAGAGGTTTTAACAATTTTATCCAATAAAACAACTGAGAATTACAATTATGTCAATAAATAGTAACATTTAGATACATGTTCCTCAATCCTTAGCTGCACAGCTCGATTACTCTTCCCCTGTTGTATATGTGTCAACACACACAAATGTAAACTTCTATTTACTCTATCCAAGTTTGATAAGGTGGAGTAACTGTTTCAAATTTTTCAAGCAAAACTAATCCTAATTATGCTATCGCATTTTTGTTGCATTGTAGAGTACTTCAACGGTTACCGTATCAAATATAAAACCAGTGAAAACTGTACGTTGGGCAAAATCATCTTGAGCTCAAAGGTGAGATTATTGCATTGTATTGCATAGTTAAGTGTAACCCACAAGTAATGCAAATATTGATGTTATGAGGATTAATTTTGGCTTTCTATTTAACTAAAGAATTTTGAGTTATTTACCTAATTTTTTGTTTTATTCAACTGTAATTAGGTGATTTTTCACTGGAAGGCTGTGCTGATGCAGCATCATGCTGACTAAAGAGCACCTTTTCAATCACTGAACAGCCAATCAGGTTTTTATGCTTCATGAAGAGAAACTATCTTTCTAGTCGGAATAGAGAGACTTGATTTATTTTTTCAAGTGGTTAAATTTCTAACTTTCTTATCTGATGAAGACGAACGAACTCACTATCACCTCTTAAAATTCTTTCTAGAAAACGGGTTAACGTCTTAACTACAATAAATGTCAGTCCTGTATTCCTTCCTATGTAAGGTCATGGATATATTTTGTAGAATAGTTCTTGCAGATGATTTTAAATCCTCAATGAGTATGCCTTCTAAACTATTACTCTTAAATGAGTTTGATTCTGATATTTTGAATGCATATTATTACTTTCTAGTTAAACTCTCGGTTAGTTGAGTAACTGCTGAACTAATTGGTGCTTAAAAGATGTATCTGAATTCTATAAAAATGCAAACAGTGCTGTCTATTAGATTATAGTTAATTTGTCCAGATATGCTGGAAAGCCTTTTGTGGAGTAAACTCTTAGTGCGTTTATTATTTTGTAACAATTACATAAAGTTGTGAAAGATGAACCTGAATAAAAGATGCTTAGACGCACGTTATCTCTTTGTGATTGCATATTCGTGGTCGATATAACACCATTGAAATGTAACATTATCTTCTTCTTCGCCAAATTGTTCCAGAGTACTTAAATATGAAATGTTGAGAAGAAGATTTAGTGGCGTAGGCATTCCTCATTTTGGCTGTATGGTTACAGCAACAACCGTGACCCAGTAATTATAAAGCTGCTTACTTTTAGGTCAAAAATCTTTATTTGATTAAGATGGTACCAATGTTTCTTATCAAATGGAGGCCGAGAATCTCAGTTAATCAACAGTACTTAGACTAATTTCGTTTGAAATTTTATTATAAATCTGAAATTAGATCCAGTATATCAGTCAGTAATATTTGATACCCGTTGCACCAGATGTAACTCTTGTATTCCAATGACCTAGTGGATAACGTTTTGGTGTTTGGAGAGATGTTTAGTGGGTTACAGGCTCAATGGGAACACCGCTACTCACATGGGTGCAGATAAATCCAGCTGACGATTCCTAAATAGAACCAGATACGCGTCCTGTATTCCATCGCTAGCCATCAAGTAAACTATAACAATATTTATTGAAATGCTTGTAATTCTCTATTGTTTAACTGGATCTAACTTTCCGACCTCTAGTATCCGTTGTACAAAAAGTTGCTATCGCGCCTCTGTGACCCAGTAGATAACCCCTTGACGTTTGAAGCAATGAGTTCGAGGTTTGAGTCTCAGTGGGAACAACACCACTCACTGGGGTGCAGGTACATCCAACTGAAGAGTCCTAAATAGGACGAAATGCGCATCGTAAACTCCTATACTAGCCAAAACTAAGTAAATTACCAAAACTATAACATAAATGTGAAAACACTTGGTCTTCTTACTTCACGTAGCAGTTTTGAACATTTTTACCAGCCGTCGTTTATTTGTTCCCTATTCCCTCCTACATTAATATCATTCTTTTTGTACTTTGTAAAGTTTGGTAACTTGAAGTTATTTATCACTTTGTAAGATTCTCTGTCTACTATTCTGTTTTCCTATGTAAGCTTAACACTTTTGTGGTTTGCTTTTACATAACTTCTGGTCTAGAAAGCCATTTTTAATCATTTCTAGAGTAGTTATTTTTGCTCACCAACAGTTCATTATTTCATGATTAAAAACAGTTTACATAATGTATTTTGAGGTTGATGGGTATTTTATTTTAAAGGTAGTATCGATCACAGACTGAGACTAGTTCAGGAACCAGTGAAACCCTAGGAGATCTGGACAGCTGTTTCGTCCTAGTATGAAAATCCTCAGCAGTCCTCACTCACAGCCTCATGCTGCCAGCGACAGAATTCAGAATCTTCAGGTTTCACGGCGAACGCGTTAACATGGTTCACAGTTTTCTGCATCTGTCAGTTCACGATATAGGGCGACTATCACTCAAGTTCTTCAGTTGGCATCCACTTCAGTTCCGACTGGTTCACCCCATAGGTCACAACTTTTCATTGGAACTTTGGGATATCCATCTAGAAGTATGTTACCAATGATCACTATACGGTGATATATTTTGAGTTAATGGGGACTGTTTTCAGGGTAGTACTATATAGAGCAGTTAATGCAGTAAAAATTAGTGTCAAGGAACATTGAAAATCCCTAAAGCAAAACATTTAGTGTATATTTCCTCTCCTTTAAGAACTTCCGGTAGTATCCACGGTCCGAAAACAAGTGCTTCCATAGTATATTATAGTCTTCCTCTGTGCAGATGTGTTGAAAGATGAATAGTCATATATCCTTTATTTACGCAATATTCAAATAAAATATTTGATGGCTATCAGTCAATTCTTATACTTGTCTTAACTAAGAAAACATCGATTTCTTTATAGGGGTTGACGCAACAACTTGCGTTCTTAATCACTCATCTTCAGTTGTCATGAATTTATAAAGCAATTCGAAGGTTTTCACAAATACTTTAGATTTATTGATGGAACAGTTAAAAAGAATCAACAACTGTGAAACGGTGGTTTTTGAGGTTTAATGGGGATTTATTGACTTTAGATTGATATTCATCATGAGCCGACATCAGTTAAAGAACCGTTGGAAACCTGGGAGCATTGGATAGTTGTTCCATCCTAGTACGGAACTTTTCAGCAGTGCACACCCAGGACCTTCAGGTTCCATGACCAGCACGTTACCATTGAGTCACTGGATTGGAATCTAGTAGTCAATATTTCCAACAGTTCACGATATAGCGCGGCTTCCATCCAATACCGTCGTTGAGTAATTGTCCTTATGTGTTTGTCTTGGTTGATTTCACTGTTGGTCAGTTATCAATTGCACCTACTACTCGTTCGTTCACAACAAAGTAGGTGAAGGAGAACATTGAGCCTATAAGTGGATTTATTTGAAAACCAAGTGACTGACATATTGAACTGTAGTCTAACACCACAACTGGATATTTTTTTAAAGTAAAAGTGGAAGTTGTACATTCTAACTGATTCTAGTTGTATATTAGATTTGTACTCATTTCACTAATCATAATCATATCATAGAATAAAAGTTTACCAAAAATCCCATGAAAGCCTACATATATTTATTGGTTTCTGGTTCAGATTTCTTCTCATAAATTTTTATCATGTTTACTTTTATTTTAGATTGCTAGATTTCAAAACTCTTTATACATACGTCTGTTATCAATCAATCGTCCAGAAGTTGTATTCATTATCTTAGGTTGTTTCTGTTCAATTATATCAGGACTATTACAGCCAGCTTTTGCTTTACTTTATGCTGAAGTTTATCAGGTAAGATACACTACTCAATAACTTTGTTAAAGTAATATAAAAGATTTTATTGCTTGCCGTTAACTAACATTCTTAATTGTCTAATATAAGAATCCTGTTTATTTATGTACCTTTATTAATACTGGGCGATGATTGAAGGTGAAATGAAAGTTTGGGGTCCGGCGTGATACGAAAAAGCTACCTTCGGGTTACCAGCCTAATACCCTACCAACAGAGCTATAAGATCCAGCTGCTGACCAGATGTTAATTTCACTCGAACCACCAAGGGTTTGTATGATTGCCATGTGACTTTTTTATGTCCTTTCATCGTATTCACACTGACTCTCCAGTCAGATTTTGTTGCATCAACCCGAATCGAGCTTAATTAAAGAGAAGGAGCATCATATTGAAGATAGAGCCCAGGAGCCCCAGGTTTTACAGTCTTGGGTTCGACCCTCGACGTAGTCATTGGCATGCACTGCTGATGAATCCTATACTAGGGCGGAGCACCTGTCCAGTACTTCTAGATTTCCAATGTTTCTCCAGCTGATGTCAGTTCATGATGAATACTAACCTAAAATAGGTTTGCGCTTAAAGTGTAGAAGTCATTCTAATAATGATCCGTTGAATATGATTCACAACTGTCTGATTAAAAATCTACTGATAAAACCACAATAAGCTGAGGCATAACTATTTTCTACTTACATCTTGTTAAGGTTAGAAATTTCAGAAACTAGCCGCAAATTATTATTATTATTATTATTACTTGACATTTGATTCGGTTTTTAGAGAAACAGTCACAGATAAGTATCTAAAAATCGAACAGAAAGGATACATACAATTACATAGAAAAAACGTTGACTCTAGCATGTCAGTTGTTTGAAGCATTTATATGTAAAAGAAAATATGGGGAACATACACCTAACATAAGACAAAAGATGTTTAACGAAAATTCACTCATCTCAGCGACATCATTCTCAAGTTGTACAATAGCATATAAATATTCTATTCACATAGTAACAGAAAAGTAGTGTTTCATGAAATATTTTGAGCAAAGTTCAGATTTAGTATTATTAATCCCGGTGGGAACAACATCACTCACTGGAAGGCAGGTGCATCCAGCTGACAAGTCCCAAATAGGACGAAATCCGCATCCTGGATTCCGCTCCTAGCCACTATCCATCATTACTATAAAGTTCAGATTTGATTATAAATCAGGAGATCGGAAAAGAGAATTACGTAATGTCTGAAGCAATAAGAAGAAGAAGATGTATCAAGACGGAACTAATACTTGGTTACTAAGTTAAATGATGTAATATGAATGTGAATGTGAAGAGAAATCAGAATTATAGGAGTGGAGGGATGTAATGTGTGAGGTCTGAATGGAAAGAATTTTATAGGTAAAAACGTCCTTATAGGTTATGTCCATTGCAACTCAAGTGACTGGACAAACTTTTTTTGAATGCAGAGTTCAGGTTTCAAATATTAATTGCCATGGCTTCCACAGTTCGAACACCCTTCACGAGATCTCCACGAACTCTATAGATGACACTAAAGTTGTTTTCTACATTTACCGGATGGTCATAATCGATCAAATATTCTAAAATAGAGCTGCATCATTTATTGATACTTGTAATCTCTGATTGCTTGATCTCTGTTGGCAGATGGGTTCCAATGTGGATGCCCCGATGTTACCTGATTATTCATAATTGTTGTAACTTACCTGGAGGTTAGCATTTGGAATCCAGAACGTGTGTATCATCCTATCTGGGACTGGCTAGTTGAATGTACCCAAACAGGACGAAACTTGGTGCCCTGGATTCCACTGCTAGCCGCTAAATAAATCGTAACATTTCTCTATGTTCCGTAACTTTTGCAGAACGGCATATGGAATTCCATCGTATAAAAAATAGGTGGGTAACAAACAGACAGACAAATCAACGTAGGACCTTGCGAAAACTACATAACTCAGTTTGTCGTAATTCATATCAGCGTATAAAATAAGTGGATAGAAGAAGAATGATATCACCAAAGTTACTATGAAGTTCTCATTGCTAATACCTGTCCCATGATTTCTGTGGGGGCTGTGATACTGCACGAACGCCTAAATATAAGTTGACTGTGTCTTAGGACTACTTCACAAGCTTTTGATGTGAAGTTTGACCCCCAAGACAGTGGAGTAATGTCAGCTGCTGCATCCCTATGGTTACCAGTGACCAAATTATGTTCTTTAGAAAATGTAGGCTTCTCTGTTGAGGGGTCCGCGTGCCAATAGGAACCAGGGGTTGGAGACTAGATGATATGGTGCAGAATCGACATCACTGGCGCAAATGTATCCATACATCACCATAGTACCGAATTTCGTTGTTTATCTCATTCTTCCTTGTCCCTGTCTGGTGACTTTCTATCAATTTTGACCACTTTTTTGATTATTTCTCCATCTTTGTTCTTAATTCGTTCTCGCTTGATGTGGTGATATGAGTTATTGCAGTTTAGGTTGTTAAACAATAATGCCAAGTCCCATATTGATATTAATTGACTTGTGTAACTCACTTTTAAGTTAGCGCAAATTAACAACAGGTGTAACTGCTATACTACTGAAATTTCTAGACAAAGGTAGTTCGAACGATAAGATGTTTATAATGACGGTACTGTTACATTTTCTGGACTTTATGAATTCGCATATATTAAATTGTAGGTGTTCAGCCTTCGCAGTGATCCCAATCAAATGACAAGAAGGATAAATATGATTTCTTCTATTATGGGTGGCTTAGGAGCTATACAATTTTTAGTTGGTATTACTCAGGTAAGTTGTATTTCTTATCGTGTAACCATGCCAATGAAAATGTTATCCAAGTATCAAATATTAAAAGTGACCAAGAAGTATGTTTGAATTTCGGTGAACACTGAAACTGAACTAAAAATCTATAGTCGATATGCAAATCTTAACCTTCTCTATCATTTCCTGATAGTGACACGTCCCCTTTTACTTGTTTCCTATAGTATCTTCCCTAATCTTGTGGATTTTACCTTTCCGTACTGTCCAACGTTTCACACCATTATTTTTCTGTTTCACTGTCTAACGATGTACATTACTAATAGTTTGAACAGTTAGTTAGATATAGCCAATCAGCAGGAAGCCTTGAACCTAGGTTTCGTGCTTTTTAGAACTCGTCAGTACGGCATATCTGCAACCTCTACAGAACTGATGTCCACTGTTATGGAGCAAATTAATCCCACCTACATTCCTCAAAGATACCCGGAATTTCCTGAAAGTTTTCACAGACCATAACGGCATGCCAAACATCGGCGAAAACCACGTGATCATACGTGAGAGGATCAGATTGTCCGAATGTCCTTTTAGAAAGGTGTACAGAATGTCAAGAAGACTATATCACAAAGATTCGTCGCCTTCTTTTTAAAAAAATAACGGCTTTATTCTGAGAAGCTGTTTCGGTAATACTCTTCAGTATCTTTAGCATCTCATACAGCATCATTTGGACAGAGACAGTGTACATGTATGCATAGCAAAATGAAATAAGTAGAAATTACACATAAAATTTAAGAATATTTACTCTATCTACAACTTTCTTGAAAATGCAGAGTTAACTTAGCTGGACAATCATATTAGCAGTTGAATTCATAATACATAAATAATAACAAGCTGTTGATAAGTTAATTCATTTGTAATACTTTCCTCATCGCACAGCAGATGAGGTAAATGCGGTATTGTAAGCAGGTACATCCAGCTGACGAGCCCCAAATAGGATGAAATGCGCGTCCTGGATTCCACTGCTAGCCACCATCCATCATTAGTATGTTCAGAATAGTCAAGTTCGCAAACTATAACGTACAAAACAACACAATTAAACATAGTAGTAAGACACTTCTATCACAGTAGCTTGGTATCAGTTGTAATAACTTTTCAACAGTGAAACAGGTAACTCACAGAAACGGTCGAGGTAATGAGAAGAATAGAACGGGTTAGTTTTATTATTTTAAACGATAACGATGCACGGATATCGACTGTCAGTCACTAACGTCCAACAACTTCCTAGTTGATTCCCGATGCGACTAATAAACAGAGAGGGCGCAATGGAAGTACATAAACATGTATGTGCTCATACTGAAGACCTAAGTATTAAACAAAGAAGAATATATTCAAGTATATACATAGTCCGGCTTGTATAGTAGTGATATTGGTGGGCTGGTCGATCGTCTGATTAACACCAGGTGCATTTTGATTTCCCGACTAGTTTTTTTCCATCCACCTATCAGTTTTAGGGTAGATAAGAAAGGAAGAAAAACTTCAATATGAGAAAGTGAAGCTCTGATTCATTGATGACGATGTCTAGCATGACACAAGAATATTTTCAGAATAAAACTCTAGCTTAGTGGACTATTCACTCTGAATTCTACTTCATTTTTATTTAATTAATGATATTAACTATCAAAGTAATGGAGAGATTTTTTGTCTTCAGGATAACGTTTTGTTTGTAATTTAGGCGGGAATAAGCGTTATTCAATAACAGTCAGATTGTTTTTGACATGAACTTATAAAACTGTGATATTAATTTAAGTAAAAATAAAATCAACCGATAGGTTCACTCTGCAAAAACTTTCTGCGGAAAATCTCTGCCTAGTTGACTGAATCATTCTTACTCAGTGTCGAAGATAGTTGACATACGTAACACATAACCGTAACCGCCTTATTCGATACATCTTTAGCATCTCACCAATGGACTAGCTGTACTTACTTATTCTTTCCCGAACCTCACCACTGTTTACCGAGGGACTGCTACAGAAGTATAATGACAATCGGTTGCCTGAAACCCCTGTAAATCTTCTATCTTTAGTAGTCATTTAACACAACTATGCAGTGTAACATCTACTGCACTCAGCACAAAGAACAAGATACGGATTTTTAAAACCAATGTCAAGTCAGTGCTGCTATATGGTTCAGAAACTTGGCGTGTCACGAAAAGCACTTCCAACAAACTACAGACATTCATCAACAGCTGCCTACGCTCGATACTGAAGATCAGATCAGATGACCAGAAAGTATAAGGAACTCTGGCTAGCTGACAACGAACTAACCAAGAACCCCCAACAAATATGCAGAAGGAAGTGGAGATGGATTGGATTGGGCATACATTGAGAAGGCCGACTGGGGACATCACGTGCCAGGCCTTCGAGTGAAACCCAAAGGGGAAACGACAAGTTGGGCGTCCGAGGTGAGGGTGACATGGAGGAGATCATGTGAGGAAGAAATGAGAGCTTGTGGGCAGTCATAGCTCCAGGTTAAAGAGAAGACTGGAGAGAAGAGAGTGCAATGGAGGCGTGCTACTGAAGCTCTATGTTCCACTAGGAACCCAAGGGAAAAATAACAATAATAATACAGTGTAGCAAAAGATACTACTGTGCTGAAATTTTATTAGCAAGAAAATTAATAGGAATAATATGATCCGTCAAATGAGGAAACTAATCGATTCACTCCATCGCTTCACCTGTTGCTTGCAGATTAGGTATCGATGTCGACCACTCCTGATAGGTTAGAAATACATTACAAGTATTTTGAACTGTCGCTCAAAATGGTGTGGTTATGCATGTTATCAACATTTTCGCCTAACAGGACCACATCATCTGCGTATTATACATCTATTCAAGAATTTCCGGCAGAGATTAGTCCCTATGTAGTAAAAGCAAGAAGTAGTTTTATGATGGAGCTAAGTAACCATGAAGATAGTAGAATATCTTTGACTTATTAAGGCAAATGATATAGAGGAGCACAAAAATCCGATTTGCCTAAAAGTGAACATTTCAGTAAATGGTTAGTCCAGGTTCCAGATAAAGTACTTTTAGACCAGAATTTGGATACATCTGGTTGGAGAAACTCGTTGAAAGATGTAGCATTCATTCTTGTTTTTCTTTTTGTCATCACCAAATGATATCACAATAATTAAACGCCATATTAAAACTGATTGTGATTATTATTATTATTATTTTTCCCTTGGGTTCCTAGTGGAACATAGGGCTTCAGTAGCACGTCTCCAATGCGCTCTGTTCTCTGAAATCTTTTGAATCTGGCTCCACGACAGCCCACAAGCTCTCATTTCTTCCTCACATGATCTCCTTCATGTCACCCTCGTATCGGACACCCAACTTGTCGTTTCCCCTTTGGATTCCACTCGAAGGCCTGGCACATGATGTCCCCAGTTGGCCTTCTTAATGTATGCCCAATCCAATCCATTTCCACTTCCTTCTGCATATTTGTTGTGTGATAGGCTAGGCATATTAAAACTTTATTGGTGCGAATTATCTTTCTAGCTTTTAAATCATGAATATTGTTTATATTATTTTTTTTAATGAATCACATTTTATTTTCGAATTAAACTATTTAAGTTTTAACCTATTTTCTTGTCGTTTTTCTTAAATATTAGGGTTATTTATTTGGAGTTTCTGGAGAACGTTTAACTAAACGTTTACGATCAAACCTTTTTGAATCTATGTTAAAACAGGTAATCTGATTATATTTCATTATCTGTAGATACAATAATTTAAAAATTTGACTACAATTAAAATGAATTTTATTCAAGTTTTTTCTTGACAAAAGAGACAAATAAAGTAGCGAAAACGTGTTCCACACGAAACGAAATATTAATCGTTTTAAAACTTGGGAAAGGAAATCCTTATAGCCTCCAGAAACAAGGAATCAGTGGCGTGCATATAAGAGTGGTCAACCCCAGTCTCTTTGAACAGTAGTTCTTCAAGAACAACTAGTCTTAACATACGGCAGAACCGCGTACAAGAAAATGTTGTGAAACTGATACTTCAAAGCTGCAAGTACTGCTGAAGTTTGTTTTGTCCTCTTTTACAGCTTTGAGAAACCTGTTAGAGAAAGGAGATATGTAGGGACTGCGGGTTGGAAGAAAGCTGAGGGTGTTCAGACGAATATTTGGCTTCGAATATTGAAGTCTCTGACTTGCTGACTTGAGTCAAGCACAAAAGTGTGTACTGCCTCACTTTAGTCTTCAGCATAGTAGAAATTAACAACTGGAACGTCTAGATGTCATGGTCCTATATTGATCAAAACAGTAAACCTTTTTAACCTCCGTCCAGTTATGCCTTCTCCTCTGATAAACCTTCGTCGATTTCAATGTTCTTTTTCTCTTTCTTCAATTCATTTTGTGTGGTGTTGTGAAATGAAGTGGGATAACTTGAATAATGCATTTATGTGCAATGTTTTTTTGTTAACTTGTCTGTCACACGAAAACTCGAACAACTTTCATTTGAAGTTTGGTCTCATTTGTTCGATTCCTACCGACAATCACAAATATAGAACCACGTTGACTGCTTTATTATGATCAACATCTTACAACCAATTTTGAGCGTGATCCATTTGCAAATGAGTGTACTCTGCGTAAAATCTCTGTTTGGCTTCAACTGAAATAACTTTTACGTATGATAGCGGTATGAAAGTATCATTCTCATACTCAAGTCTACAGAGATTTTGTCTCAAATAATAATCATGAAGTTGTGAAAGAGCAATATATTCAGGTTGTATAATCCCACCATATCTGAGAGAACTTTCAATGAGCTTCTAGAGGACAATTCCGTATGTTAGCCATATCCAACAAATTAAAAAGGGCTTCATTACCAAGAAGAACAGCTTTTATTAACCTGCAACTTGTATGCTTATTTACAAACAACATGCAGAAGAGTGACCAAATTACGTCTGCAACGTCGATGGAATCTGGCCCTTTCCAAAGCAGTTTCACCCATATCTGTAAGGTTTGACATCACCCAGTACTTCAGACGTAACTGCCCGTTAAGTTATATCGCACTGGTCTTCATCACCTAAGCGTTTTACAGCCCTCGAAGTGAATAAACCGAGTACTGCTAATATGATATAGCCTCTTAAACGATTTAGTTAGCTTAATGTCTGCTTGGTGGTTAGAAGTGGAATCCACGACGCGCGTTCCCCTCTGTTCGGGACTCTTCAGCTGGACGTATCTGCGTTCTAGTGAATGTTCCCAATAAAACTCGAACCCCGTACCCACCGCTTCAAACTCCAAAGCGTTATCCACTGAGACACGCGAACTACCTCTTGTGCAGTGGGTATTATCATTTAACTAACGTAAGTATAATAATCATATTTGTCATTTAGTTCGCATTCATAAGAAACATTTAAGAACAAAGCGTTCTCTCCCTAGTTACTCGTTTTTGTTATCGTCAACTTTTCACATTTCTCAGCATTAATGCCGATTCATTTTTATGAACTTCTTTTATGTCATGGTCAACCTGGTCAGCCTTCACTGATTAACTGAGTACACGTTTATATTATGAACAAATAAACTATGTAGGAAACTGCAAAACTGTGAAAGAAAACTCTGACGGATAATTTTAATTTGTGCCTTGCAAATTACTTTATCAAACAATTAAGTCCTTTAGTTGGTTACAGGCAATCGGCAGGAAGTCTTGGACAAAGGTTTCGTACTTGTTAGCAAGGCGTATCTACAACCTCGACATAACTGATGTCCCCTGTGAGATTCGAACCCGCGTCACCCAGTGATGCATGTCAGAAACGTTATCACTGAGCGATTCAGGCCACGACTGACCTCCCCTAGAACTTTACTATATACACTCACTGATCACTGGATAACAACCAATTTCATGTTGTCTGGACCTGAGTACTGACGGAGTTTTATTGATCACTTTTCCTTATTAGACAAAAAGATTAAAATTCAATTATCTCCAATGGCCTTAATAGACAGAAGATTACTAATCAAGACTGTTGTAGATAACTGAGTTCCGATATTCTTTAATAAAGCACTTAAGTTTTGTATGAAGTAACTTGAAAGGCACTAGCTGAAATCATTTATCAGTAGACGGTAGAGTCGAGCTGTGGCTCATGGATTTAGTCACTTGGTTTACAGCCGATAAGTCACGAGTTCAAGCCCAGCTCCACTTGCTGAGGTTTTGGCAGCCAGGCAGTATCATCAGTAGCCTTCACACAACAGATATGACTGATACACTTATTACATGAACATGCACAATGTATTTTAGTAGATTTTGATTTCAAGACACTTGATAATATTGAAATAATTTCAAGGTCACGAATTGAGGGTTTATTGGTTGCTTTATGAAAACTAATTGCTAAATAGATGTTAACTTGTGAAGTTTGTACTGATGACTTTCTCCAAAATGACAACAAAAGCTTATTGATTAAAGCTTAGAGAGCACAACACCATCAAAACTATCCTTCTGGGCTACAAATATTCTCCAACATCTCAAGATGTTCTTTTCATTTCATCATTGAATATTCTATCTGAAAGTGACAAAACTAATCACCGTCTATCACGTCAGATCTCTAAATAAGTCTCCTCAAAAAAACCTTCATCAGTGTAAATATTAAATGATTTATGGAAAAAAAAGAATAGTTAAATCGTCTAAGAAATTGTTGCTTGACATAGTGTTCTACTTTATCCACATTTTGAATATCATTTGTATCTGTTATTAAAAGGTAATAGTCTTTCAATAAATTTATAATAAAATGTTTATTCATCCATTTGTTTCTATTGTTTTGTCCCTATTCCATCTTCGTATTTTACTATTATTATTATTATTATTATTATTATTATTATTATTATTATTATTATATGAATTAATCAAGGAAATTGGATGGTTTGATAAAGCTGAAAATCAAGCTGGTGCATTGACTGCATTTCTATCAACAGATGCTTCAAAAGTTGCTCAAATTAGTGGATCAAGATTGAGTACAGCTTTAGAGGCTATGGTTTTAATTTTTGCTTGTTTAATCATTGGATTCATATATAGTTGGCAGTTAACATTGGTAATGATTCCTTTTGTACCAGCGCTTCTGTTGTCTACACGTGTACAAGTAAGTTGTTTCTTTTAGTAATTTCATCTGTTGTGTTTATTTTCCTTTATAAATCTACATATCTGCATGACTTTATGCTATAACTATGCTACCATTGAGTAGAACTGTAGAAGTATAGTCAATAACACATAGTGTCTAGCTACTGTCCTCTGCGGCCTGCTTGAACTTTACGCTATCAATGAAATTTTACACTTGACATATTATTTCAAATTTCTCCATTTTAACTTGTTTTAATCTCTCAGATATGCCCTCCAAACGTATCATTTACTCTTAGGGATTTTTAGAATGTTCTAAACTAGTCATTTTTTTGAGGTTATAACAAAACGAAGGAAAAATACCATATTAGATGGAAATGCCCGAAAAATACTTTATATTTCTATTCTTCGTATACCTATCTCAAATAGTACATTCTTCTAATGGCTGAATGGAACTACTGCCATCAACAAACACTAGAAGCTAATCTAACACCAACCGGTTGCTTCACATTGTTGCTTTTAATGCTGTTATTATGAACATCATTCAGACACCATAATCATTTTGTTGGAAAATATTGTTCTGAGAGTAAATCTGTGAGTAAATACTGAGAATTCCATACTATATCAAACATATTGTTTAGAATAAAGCTATTAATATTATTTTTGCACAATGTCGTGTGATTTAGGTTCAGTCTTCAAAAAGGCTAAAGTTGATCACATGAGTTTTAAAAAATGGCATCAGTTATTGAAGTTGTTGACCATTGATGTGAGCTGTTTAGGGAAATATCAACTCCCTAATTGGGGTCTATATAACAAATGACCTCGGTGGTTAGATATTCATATAGCTTAGAATCGATCTCACTGACTCGAATTAATCCACACATTCTTCTCATCTTAATCATCATTCCGAATTTCATTGTTTTTACATTCCTTCATATACTGTTTCCGCTATTTTTGACTAATTTCTCCAGTATCTCTTCATCTTTCATCTGTGTAACTTCTTTGGTGTACTGATAGTGAAGTATGGCAACTTGGACCATTATGCAATAATTCCAGGTCCCATGTTATGTTATGTAACACATTTTACTGACTAATATACGTGACTATATCACAAGGTTATGTTTGTTTATAAAACTTATTACCTTGTATATTACTCATATAATTTTATCAAAGTTGTCAATGAGAATACATGACAAAGGTGCTATCCATTAACTGAACAAATTTAGAATCAATGTCATTGGCTATCTAACAAGCTAAGTTATAGAACCTGTTTCCAGAACTTTCTAATAAGTCTTCTTCAAATGTATAGAATGAGATTGTAGTTACATATGTGCAAATCACCTCTGAAATGAATAGATTGCTGCATGATAAATGAAAGTCAGTTTTTCTTGACAATTTGTTCTGCTCAGCATACCTATGGGAACAAACAACTGGAAGTACTAAGACATATTTAATGTTACATGAAATCTTTTTCGACTTCATTAGAGTATGCTTGTTAATTTAACCTTTAAGAACTGATACGACTACTATATATGCAGAAACTGCATGAACGTAGAGAAAACCAGACAGTACAGTGATTACTTTTTGATCAAGAGTTCATGGAAGAAATGTAAATAACTTCTTAGACGATGGATAAATTCAATTTTCCCATTCACATATTTCATATAACAATAAATAAAAATGTTAGTTATTTGTTAATAACTATGGTAGTGTTGAAGATCAGATGTCCAGAAAGAATAAGCAACAAGGAACTCCGGCTGGCTGGCAACGAACCAACCAAGAACCTATCGCCCAACAAATATGCGGAAGTAAATGGAGATGGACTGAGCATACACTGAGAAAACCATTCGGAGACATCACGCGCTAGGCCAGGCCCTCCAGTGTGATCCAAAAGAGAAACGACGAGTTGGGCGTCCGAGGCGAGGGTGACATGGAGGAGATCGTGTGAGGAAGAAATGCAAGCTGATGAGCAGTGGTGGAGCCGGGCTGGAATGACTGCAGAGATTAGAGTGAAATGGAGACGTGCTACTGAAGCCCTATGCTGCACTAGGAACCCAAGGGACAAATAATAATAATAAATAATAATGCTAGTGTTGATACTGGCTGATAATAGAAGGTGAAATAAAAATTTGAACGTGACGGGATTCAAACCAGTGACTACTGAATTCAAAGTTTCATTTCACCTTGAATCATCACCCAATATCAATACAGATCTGTCAAAATGATATGATAGTGTTATCATGTTGTTTTTGAAAAAAACTGTTTTCATTTATGTTTTACTTCTAAAAAAAATTAGTGTCTTGCTAAACAGCACCAACAAACAAGAAATTTGAATCAAACAAGGCTACACTTTCACTATCCTTAATCGCCTAGTGTCAAAAATGAACTCTAATGGCCAGTCTCCTGAACAACTTGTAAAATTATTGATAGAATTATATTGTATCCATGCATAGGACTAGACAACACAATATTGGTGACTAATCACACAGTTTGCATAACCTAACTATATTGTCACTTCAACCAATTTGATATTGACGCCTATTAAAAATTTTGTCTCGAAAAATTGGATCATGTTGATTGGTTAAGAAAGCTTTTAGGCACAGTCGAATAATCTGGACAACATCCTACTGAATGCGATAACTTGATCATTATTAAATATATGTTTTCGCTTAGAATAACCCCTATTATTTGGATGTGGTGGTGGTTAAAATAATTCACTGCAAGTTTCAGTAGCAAAGATTCTTCTTATCTCCCTGTCTAGAGACCAGTTCCCTCCCCCAAGTTGGTCTACAGTTAAAATAAAGGCAAAAACAAACAGTCCTTACCATCTGTTATCATATTAATCTCGATAATTCATGATATATTCTTCTAAACACGTGCATTTCCAGCCTTCAACTTGTTCCGATCAATTACTAACATAAACCTAATGTAATTAGTTTAAGTTGTTATTCATCGAAGACTGACATCAGTTGGAGGAACAAAGGAAACCTGGGAGCACTGGACAGCTGTTTCGTCCTAGTATGGGACTCCTCAGCAGTGCGCACCCACGACCCCACCAGCAGGGATCGAACCCGCGACCTTCAGGTTCCGCGACCAGCGCGTTACCATTGAGCCACTGGGTCAGAATCCAATGCTCCATATTTCCAACTTCTGTTAGCTCACGATATAGCGCAGACCGCCACCCATTAGGTTAAATAAATAAGTGAAATATTTAGATTGATTATCAGTTTGACTGTCTAACGTAATCATGGTTCGGCAGACTTGTTTTATTGATCCTGGCTGATGATTAAAAGGGAAATAAAAATATCGTTTAGTAAACCCCCAGGCCAACAACTCGAAAGTCTCTGGTTCGAATCCTACCGCGACCTAGATTTTTATTGTGCATTCATTTATCACCCAGGATCAAAAAATACTTATGGTTGAATAACTCTGACATCTGAACAGTAAGAAATACCCAGCATTTAGCCAATTCATAAGAAGTAAACTTATATATGTAGTCACAAATTAAGGTTATCAAGTTTTTTGCTAGGTTTCTTCAGACGCGTTTTATGGTATTATTACTAGATCGATAACCTCAACACAACGAATAATAAATGATAGACAAGTTCTTATCCAACTAGATATAATTCCAGCTAGTAAAGAAATAATTTATCCAATCAGTTGCAGTATTCCAATTTATAGGCCTGTATGAATTTATTGATTCCAGTTTTTCAGTGGTTGTTCAACTGATAACACTTCGTAGTGTACACCAACTTCGAAGTAATAAAATCCACATAACCCTACAAAATAAAACTACTGTTCAGTGTTCATTAGTGACTACCTTCTAGATGAGATTTCTCAAAGTTCTACTAAAGGGATGTAACCGGTAGGATAAACCAAGTTTTAGATGAGGACAACTACTCAGTTGCTCAATGATAATGTGTTGGTCGCAAAACCTGAGTTCGCTCCTAAGTGGGATGAGGTGATGAGTGCGCCCTGCTGAGGAGTCCCATACTAGGACGAAACAGACATCCACTTTTCCCAGATTTTCGATTTTTTCCAGCTGATACTTGCCTGTGATGAATATGGACTTGAAATCAGTTGTAGCATTTTAAAACTGAGACAGCTTTAGTGTATATGTATCTATTTATTGACTATGAGAATGAAGCTGAAGTTTAACCAACTAAAATACACCGATAGGAAAAGAATGTTGCCAGAGATCGGAAAAAATGAATAATAACATTATTATTATTAATATTATTATTTCTCCTTAGCGTTCCTAATAGGACATAGAGCTTAAGTAGCACGTCTCCGATGCTCTCTGTTCTCTGAAATCTTTTCAACCTGGCTCCACGACAGCTCACAAGCTCTCATTTCTTCTTCGCACGATCTCCTCCATGTCACCCTCACCTCGGACGCTCAACTCGTCGCTTCCCATGGGGATTCCACTCGAGCATCTGGCCTGACGCGTGATGTCCTCAGTCGGCCTTCTCAGTGCATGCTCAATCCAATCCATCTCCACTTCTTCCTGCATATTTGTTGCGTGATAGGTTCTTGGTTGGTTCGTTCCCAGAGCTCCTTGTTGCTTATGATTTCTGGCCATCTGATCTTCAGTATCGAGCCAGTGTAGGCAGTTGATGAATGTCTGTAGTTTATTGGAAATCATTTTCGTGACGCGCCAAGTCTCTGAGCCATGCAGAAGCACTGGTTTGACGTTGGTGTTGAAAATCCGTATCTTGTTCCACATGCCGAGTGCAGAAGATCTCCACACTGGTTTCAGGCTAATGAACACATGTCTTGCATTTCCGAATCTGACTTTGACATCCTCGTCTGTGCCTGTGCCGCCTGTAGTTGAAATGATGCTGCCTAGATAGGTGAAGGAGGTTACTTCCTTTAACTTTCTCCCATTGATGGTGATTGGAGTTTGTTGTTATTGGTGGTGGTGGTGGTGTTGCGGTATCTTCATCAATTCTGTCTTCTCTATATTCACCTGAAGTCCCGTGTTCGCTGCCCTGCCTCTTCTGCCAACTTGTTAGTTTTCACTTG